CCTAAATAACTTACTACCTATTTTAGGTAGTCAAGTTTGACTTTGTTAAGGTCCGTAAGAGCGAGGGATGACTCGTAATAATCTCACTAGTGGGAGGCTTAAACATGGTTAAAAGTGAATAGAAACACTTTTGGGAGTGGTAAATGACCAAAATTACCCTTCAAGGGTAAGAAATTCCTTACTAGCCTTAATGATACCCGTAGATGATGTAAAAGACCAAAATATTTTTGATGAGTAAGGCACTCCAAAGGTACTCCTAAAGATGCACTCAACGAATGATTGTGAAAGACAGATCATTGTGAAGGAATACATGCAAGAGAGATAATTTACCATGTGAATAATGTTCTAGAAGAACCGCATACCAGGTGAATATCGATGAATCAACGACGTACAAGTCGTTCCTCCGGTTCATGGTTGAATTGAGAGAAAACATGATGAGAGCGGCTAGAAAGTCACTAATGAATTATTAATCCCGAGTTGAATATCAGACTAATAATGATGTATCACAATGATAGTAATAATGTTACATAAGTTAATGTTATAATTTACCAAAAAACCCATTTAGAGACAAAAATAACCAAAACACCCTTGGGTGTTAAATGACCAGAATAGTGTGGTCTAATAAACAAATAGATGAAAAACACTAGTTTATCCTCACATAACATTTTAGATGAGAGAATAATAGAGATAATGTCGAGCGAGGGGATAACCTCACTTGATTGTGATAAATTATGATAGTGTGTAATCGAGCTACCATGATTGCCATTGTGTGGCCATGAACACCTATGCATGTTGTGTATTGATGATGATTGTTGGATATTCATAATGCTTGTCTTGATTGGCTAGTGTGACACCAAGCCAATGTTACTTATTATGAGCAAGAATTATATCGAGGTATCTATGACACTGGGTTCCCCTACATAATTTACACCCGAGACATCTGTGACACCGTGAGATCATTTGTATTAATTTTATAGGAATTTTACCAAGGCATGTATAACACCGGGTTCCCCATTTGTGATAGTACATGATGAATAATGTGACATCGATGCTATCAATATATGTTCATGGTAAGGTCCTTGGTTACGACTAAGGGAAGAATGAGACTTATACTATTGTGATATAACTTATAAACCTTAAGCATGTAACTGTTGATTATGATCAAACATGTACCTAGTTTTTTATTATCAAATCTTCTTGCACTTGATTAGTGATATATTACTAAGCTTTGTAAGCTCAACGTTCAAATGTTTCCATTAGTAGGTTAGTAGCTTAAGTCGTTCGAGGAGTATTGTCACAGTAGGATTTCCAGCATTCCTTTGATAGTACTATATTGTTACTTTTAGTAGACATGTGTATTCATAGTACAATAATAAAGACCCTTATTATTGTATTCAAATTTGTAGCTTAGAGATTTTATTATTTTGATTTAAATTATGTGTCACGGAGCTCCAGTTTAAGAAAATATTTTTTATAATTGTTATGGATGTCTATCTAGGTAAATATATTGTGTTTTGAATAGGGAAGGGCATGAGACCGAACTCGACAGGTTCCGATTCGACCCGACCCGACCAGGAAAGATTTTTTTTTAAAACCGAGTTTGGGTCGGTTCAGATTTTTTACAGGTTATTTTCGGGTCGAGTTTGAGTTTAAGGTGAAAAATACCCGACCTAGCTCAAAAAGCTATGATTTTACCTTATATTTAGGAATAATTATAATAATATACATCTATATATTATTATTTTTCAATTAAATCCCTATTTTTATTGAATAAAAATAGTATTTTTAATGAATATATTATTCAGGTCGGGTCGTGTTTGGATTTTATCTTAAAAGGTTAAATCGGGTTCGGGTTTGGTGGAGAGTGTATATTTTTTGGATCAAGTGGAGGATGTATAATTTTCAGGTCGGGTTAGGTTGACCGAAAACCCAACCCAACCCGACTTATGCCCATCCCTAGTTTTGAAATGAAAATAAAAAATGTTTTAATTTTTGAGTGGTTGCCTCAAGAACCTAATGTGACACTTTAGGCCCATACAAGTTGAGGGTGTTACAGTGTTGACCAACGAGTAGCCATAATTATCCAATATCTAACACCATCAACTAGAGTCACTATAAATACCTTTTAGCAGTATCTATAAATATTTTTTAGAGTGAGCACATATGTATTAATAATAGAATTTTTCATATGGTATAGACACAAATAAAATTTCAGGGTGGACACTAATAAAATTTCAGGGTGGACACTAATAGTAAAATGAACAAGTAAGAATACACATATGTCCGCCATTGCCTCTTAGCCATGAATGAGATGAGGTATCCTCTCCACTTTCCTCGCCTTTTTCACTCTCATGTTTTCTCTTATGCTCTTATTTCTTTCACACCGAAAGATTGACTAACGATCATTACCTTAATGATTGTGACTCTCCATCTAAAGCAAAAAAATGAACGATCAATAAAAACTTACAAAATAAACTTGTTTTCATTGATATTTTATAATAGTATGTGTTTAAAATAAAACTTCACTAAAAAATAAATAAAAATAAAATCCCAAAACTTTTTAAAAATTAATTTTCCAAAATTTTTTATTTATATTAATAATTTAATAATTTTTTTAATAATTGTTGGGCTTTTCAAAGAGTATGATAAACGACGACGTATCATTTTATTTATCTATGTATACGTGAATGGACCATGTGCATATTCTGACATTATTGAGGCTAAAGCCCAAGATGTGGTCCCACTCAGGTAACTAAAAATTAGGGTGTGCAAAAAAATCCGATCCGATTGATTCGATCCGTTGATTCGATCCGAAAATTCGGATATTCGACCCATTTTTCAATTTTCGCATAGATCGGATCGGGTATCCGAATTTTTTTCTGAATTTTCGGATCGAATACGGATCGATAAAAAATCAATTTCGGAATATCCGAAAGCCCGAAAATAATTTGGGCAATATTAATATGTTTCAAACCCAGAGCTGTTTGGGCTATAGCCTATATGCATTCTTTCAAACCCAAACCCAGAGAAATACGGGTATTAGTGCGAGTCTTTCCTTTTTCCTTTCTCTTTCTCTGATCAAGTTTCTTCTGCGATTTCTTCCGATTCTTTCAAGTTGGAAATTTTGGTTAGAAATTCTTCACCTCTTCTCTAAATAGGTTTTATGAAAATTGTTACGAATTTTGTTTCTTCGTTGTTGTATGAATTATTTCGTCGTTTATTGTTATTCAAATTAATTAATGATTGATCTCAGATTTTGACTATGGGTATTTTTAGCTTAGTGTTTGATCTTTAGAAGTTCATCTTTTGTCTAAAAATTTGTTTGTTAAAGCTTTGGGGTTGGTTTCGGTGCAAATTTATAATTCGAGCATTTTTTAATTACTTGTTGATTGCTACTGCATCTGGGAAGGTATAGTCTGCTGTTTTTGGTTTGGTTTCTAAAATGGGTGAGTTTTCAAAAAAAAAGTTGAATTTATATTCAATATCCTTCATGCTTGTGCTATCTAGATCTACTTTCTCTAAGATATTTGCTTGTTATTTTGCATTGTTGGGGAGATATTTTTTGAAATTGTTTATATATTGAAACTTCTGAACTTTGGGTTATGAATTCTTTGTTTGCATATTCAAATTCTGTGAAGTTTTACTTTATAATCTCGAGCTATTCGTTGTTAGTTAGAATTTGCGAAACTGAGTTTCATATGAAAATGTGAAAATCCTTGATGTTAAGTGTGTGTTATTATTTTTATTTTTGGTGCTTTTGAATGTTGAATCTATGTACTAGTTAAATTGGATTTGGATACGAATATTCGGATATCCGATCTAAAAAAATCGGATATCTAAAAATTCAGATATTCAAAATTTCGAATCGGATACAGATCATTACTTTAGGTATCCGAAATTTTCGGATATCTAAAAATTCGGATCAGATAATATCTGATATCCGATAATATTCGATATCGGATAATACACACTGCTACTAAAAACAAGCACGTGGTCCACGATAGCTTTGGAAACCAATTCGACAGCCTGAATTGAAAGTTTAGTTCCCAACTTGATGATCGGACGGTCATAATCACCCATAACCATTTTAAAATTTCTCTAATAATTAATCCAAATTATAGAAAGTCCCTCTCTTTTAGCCTGAAACAAAAGCCATCAAAAAATTAATTTCCATTTTGAACCCTAAAATCTTTTTTTATATATATAAAAAAAGCTCAATTCAACCGCCCGATCTCACCATGAATGTTGCGAAAGACTGTGAGTTTTTGATATTCCACTTTTTAAAATTAAATTTTTAAAAGTTGTTGTTCTTGCTTCATAGGTTACCCTGAATTGATAGCATAGCCCTAATTGGATGTTCTTTTTTTTTCCTCTTTTATTCGTCTAAATTCTGAAGTAAGAAAGAGAGCATTTCTAGTAGTGATTTCTTGATAGATTTTCTGGGTTTACTTCAAGTTTTATTGATTTGGAAGTTAATGAGCTGTAAACTAATGGGAAAATTTAAAATTTGAATCGTTTGCATGCTTTTTTTTTTTCTTTCTAGTTTCAGTTATCTGACAAGTATCTTTGGAAGATTGAAGGTTTATTTTTTAAATACTTCCTTGGGGTTTATTGGTTTTTCAAGAATGAACTTGACGTTGATAGAAGTTGAATGTGGTTATCATATCTATAATTCTTAATGTTTTATTCGAAGCAGCCTTTTTCAGTTGATGATCTATAGAAATTATGTTTCGAAAAGCTGGGAAAACCAACCGATCAATGACTAGAGTAAATTAATTTCATGTACCGAAGGATGGAAATCAAAAAGCAGTGACTGAGAACAAAAAAAAAGTTTTAACTCATAGTTTACTAGAGTGTGCTTGCATTGTTTGAAGAGAGAGAGAGAGAGAGAGGGTTGGGGGTATTTATAGCTATCTTGTAACTACTTATTAGTTAGTTTTTATGTTTTTTATGTTTCGGTGTTTTGCTGCATCAATCTTGTTGTCAAGGCTTCTTATATAATCATTAATTTAAGTGCAGTTCCAAAATAAAAGAATAATGGAAGGATCACCATTTGATGCTCAAAGGGCCGAACCATCCCAACAGCAGCCAAATGCAACACCACCACTAGCTTTGTCTCAGCAGCATGTCAAAGCTCTCAACACCCAATTTGCAAGGTCCTGTCTGTGATGTTTCAACAACTTGCTTTTGCTTTGTATGTTTATTTAGAACCAACTGATTTGATCTTTTTCTACTTATAAAATATTCGATGTATTTAATATTCTTCTAGCTTTCTGTATGAATATCTTATCAGTCTGTACTCCGTAGTATAGCCAAGTTTCTTGCTTCTTTGTCTTTGGGCCTTAGCAAACTTATAAATTTGTATAATTGTATGTATTCTCCATGACAAAATTTTATTTTATCAGTTGGGTACAATCACAATTGAAGAATCACCCCGATGAGCTTTGGCAAGATGGTGCTAGTGACTACCTAAGTCATGCTTTAAACATTATGGTAACATCTGATGGTTGTTTTTCATTGGTTGACAAATATTTGTATTCATGTTTGTACTGTCTAAGTGAATGTATTAGATTGCAAAATTTAGGGCTGTACTGTTAGATTCTTTGATCACCTTCTTCAAAGGAATTTATTTTCTTTTGCTCTATACTACTTTTGTTTCTTTATATTATAAGCAGATTTTATTGTTAAAGAGTGTAATATGAATTCTTCACGTAATATCTTAATATGAATAAAATAAAGCTGGCTGTCATTGCCAGTGTTTAAAAAGGCAAGCCTAGGCGCTAAGGTGAGGCGAGGCGAGGGTGAAGCGCCTAATTAGGTCTAGGCGAGGCGATTTCAATGAAGCGCAGCAAGGTGCACTAAGGCGCCGGCTCAAATTTTTTTTGTTCTTTTTCTCTTTTTTTTTATTTTTTATTATGTTTTACATACTAACTTGTGTATCAACAACAAAAAAGAGAGAGAAAAATGAAATGTCAGTGGAGAAAAGAGTAAAACATGGTAGGCTTGATTAGAAAAGAGAGTTTTATGGGAGATGTATGGAAATGTGGCGTGAAATACAGATAAAGGGTGGGGTGCTTTACCTTATATAATTACTTTTTGTCTTGAAGTTTAAAAGAGAGAGAAGAAAAGGGGGATGACTAGAGGTCATTTTTGGTGTTAAAATGACAACCGACTGAGCAGACAAAATGAGAGAGAGGCATGCATGCACGGATTGAGAATCGGGTTAGGAAAAGACAGATCATGGAGAAATTTGAATCCATGAGAAAGAAAGAAAAGCTTGGAAACACAATTTAGAAATACGAAAATGGAGGATTAGGGTGGGTTTGGAGAAATGGGGTTTAGGGTGTAGGTGGTGTTAAAAAGGAGGAAGACATGACTGTTGAGAGGTGTGAGGTGGAGGGATAAGAAGGAGACAAGTAAGAAGTTTGCCAACTTATTATTAGACTTTTATTTATTATTTCAGTTTCTTATATGAAATTGTGGACCAAGGAAGGAGGGGGGAGGGTTTGCTTGGGTTCTCAAGCTTTAATGGTGGATGGAACAACTTGTATATCTTTTATTTTCAAAAAGTGTGCCTTACTTCAATAAGGCACGGGCCTTGCGCCTTGGCTATAAAAACCCTATCGCCTTAGTGTGCCTTACGCCCTTTTTAACACTAGTCATTGCTTGATTCATATATCAGTGTTTAGATGAAAAAGATCAGAATATTTATACCGTTTTACGAGCAGTTTGTTAACAGCTTTAGGATGACCGTGTGTCTATTTAGAAGTTCTCTTATCCACCATCCAACCAAAATGGATGGGCTGTCTTGGGCTTATATCACAAATAACCTTCATTTGAGTTTCTGTGACTACTACTGATGTTTAAATTAGTATGCAAGACTAGACTACATATATGCAGGGTATTATTGCTTTGGTTTTCAAACTTGAATGACACTCCATTTCCTCTTTTGCAGGAGAAGTTCTGATGTTGTCAATTGGCTCAAAGCCAATGTGGTAAAAGATGACAACTTGACTGCTGCTGAAATTCATAAAAATGAGAGTAAAGTGGTGCCCGAAACCAAGAACATGGATAATATTTTTTTCAAGGAAAAACTGGATTTACTCCAACCAGCACTACAGGCTTTATTCCAGGCACTTCAACTCTGACCTTTCCTACAGGCACTGCAGCTTATACCTTTTCTCTGGACACTACAACTACACGCCTAACTCCAGCTGATATGACTAAAAGATTTCCTCCAGCGGGAACAACTACTACCTTTACCTCGGCTAGTTCAACTACAAGCTTGGCTCCGGCTAGTCTGACAACTACAAGCTCTATGCCAGCTGGCTCAAATTCAAGCTTTACATTTGGCCTTGCAACTGCAAATTTTGCTTCCTCCAGTACAACAAATAGTTTTACTACATCTAACAAGACTGTGAGCTTTGCATCTCCTTGGAGCTCTGGAGCATTCTCTAATAGCAAGTCTCCTTTCTTGTTCGGTAGGTTTTGCATTGACTTTTTACAAAAATATTTATAATTGGATTAAGATTTGACATTACTGGCTTGAAGATATTAAGACAATTACATGTGCCTAAAAAGAACAAAATATGAAAGTTGAAACTTTGATCGATGTTGAGTTTGAATTCCATCATGTTGTCAAATTAAATTTACATATTTTTATGTTATTTCAGGAACCCAAACCTCAGTTTCTGTGGACAACAATGCAGCAGATGACATGGATGATGGTGGGATTATGAAACTTTATCTTCTGGTCCTTATTTACTGTATATTGTTCGTGTTTAAAGGCATTCCCTCGTTAAATTCAGCCTTGTCATGAAATTTTTTACTTTCTAGGTTATTTCTCTCTTTTTTTTTTTTTGGTTTTAAGTAAGGTTAATTCTTTATGCCTCTCAACTTTTAATTCTGTTACCTTCTCACTACATGCACATTAATAAGTGTCACTTTGGATTGTCAGAGAATGAGTTGCCACAGCCTAGCAGTCCATCAGTGAAGAAGTTGGAAGAGCATGGTATTGTTGTTGTTCATGAAGTCAAATGCAAGCTTTATGTCAAGGTTTATCTTCTGAAAACTTGCATTCAGTCATGGTTTTCAGATCCGCCTATTCTGGACTTGTAACAGTGTTTGGTCTGACCACCCCTTTTGTAATCCCCCCCCCCCTCTGTTATGCCAGTCAACTGATCCAGCAGATAAAAATTCATGGAAAGATAAAGGCACAGGGCAGCTTTCCATTAAATGCAAAGAGGGTATCAGAAAGGGTTCAAAAGATTCCAAACCGATAGTTGTTGTTCGAAATGATGTATGTTTCTTTATGTCCATGTATTGGTTTTAGAAATGTGATTCGTGCATGAGCTTTTGTTCAGTGACTAGATAGATAGAGATAGTTCACTCTTAACCACAAAATCTCCAGTCTTTTTTAACTGTCTTTAACTCCTATACCAATTTATTGGTTGCAGGTGGGAAAGGTGTTACTTAATGCTTTGCTATATCCTTGGATCAAGACAAATGCACAAAAGAACTCCCTTGTTGCTATATTTCATTCGTCGGTAATATATTTTAAAGGCAAACACTTGGGTTTTTTGGACATTCTCTAATTTTGGTATTCTATGCCTTGGTAATCTAATATCAAACTCTGTCAGGTCATTTGTATCTTAACAATGATTTATTAGCATATCTTCTGGGCACTTACCAGCTAGAATATTTCTATTAGAGTAGTCACTAGTTTAATAGTAGTCCTTGGTTTTTCAACAAGTCAGTATGTCATTATCCCATTTATCCCTACTCGTTTGGATTATCATACTTGAAGATATTCATTTGAAAATTCAAGTATATAGCAACCCCCACTGTTAAATATACTTCTTTGTTAGGGCTCCGGAGGAAAGGTTTTGGATAGAAAATTAACATTTACTTTTACCATAATGTTGAAAATAACATTAGGTCCCATTGCCTGGTGCAATGCCTACTCTTGAGCTGATGAATTTGGGATATGAGTTCAATCTTGAAAGTAGGATTATTTTGGCCTTGTAAGCTGCTCTGGAGTATGAGATTAATTATAAATGTGCTATAGATATAAGCAGACTGCAACAATGCAGTCAAATTTACTGACATGGAATTTAGATGTGGAATTGTTGACTAGTAAATTGGTAGTTAGAATTTGTAATATAGGTATTTGCATCAAAATTGTTTGCAGAAATTGACCTTGTAATTACAGATTTAAGTAGTCAAGTATTTCAGTGACATCGTTTGGATTATGTAGGATGATGTCAATAACGAAGATGTCATGGCACGGACCTTAATCAGAACAAAATCGGAGGATGACCGAAACAAACTGGCAACAGCCATACAAGAATATGCCCCTGCCTCATAAAATGTATGTGACATTATCATTTGTTTTATGCCCCAGAAGAAAATACTGTAAACTTGAATGATTGTAATTTTCCTGGATGTTACCCCTTTACATTTTGCCAGGGTCGGCTTCTTAGGGATTAGACCATCTTGTTCTAGTGGCTCCAAAAGTTACGGGGCCAATTTCAACAGTGATTTCATTAGATTATCATATGAACGCAGCAGTTGATTACAATGGTTATTTATCCCCAAATTCCCAAGGAATCATGCTCTCGTTTTTTTATAGTTTATATTAATATCAGTTGGATGCCTTGTTCAAGCTAGAAGTTACATATCATTTGCAACGTGATGTAAGTGGAGCTGAGAATGCTAGTTTCGGATCATGGTGTTCAGTTGGAAACTTTATAGCTTGTATGTAAAATCTTCAATTTCCTCTATGTGGGTTCCAATGCTATTAAGAAAGTTGTTCTCGCTCGATGTGTTGGGTTCGAGAAATTGTGTTTGCATGGTATGCGTTGTCAATTGGTTAAGAAAGTTTTGAACATACTATATTATATTCATTTAGACTATTAAAAAAAATATATACGATTAGATTGGCTAACCCTCACAATTGTTGCAAGGAATCGCATGCAAAGTTACCGGAACTATACTCCAAATTGAGATTTACGTGGAGATCTGGTTGAACAATATATTCCCCAATTACATTTACAAGTGTAGAGGGCTTTTACATGTATTGAGAGGATAGTAAAGGGTATGAATAATTTGATTTAAACCACCTTTTCTCAATACTCGTATTCTAGTATTATGTTGAAATTCCACAATTATATTGTATAGTAGTCATCATTGTAGAGACAGACACAAGATTTTAGTTAGGAGAACGAACTTTTATATTTAGTAAAACTATAATGACAATATAAAATAACAATTATAGTAACTAGTAAAAGAAATATGCACAACAAAAAACATTTTCCTCATTCTCTCTTTTCCGTTCCACAAAAAACAACGATTTATAATTTACACCAATATACTAGAGTTTTAGTTGTTAGAGATGAAAAAAAAACTTATTAACTATAAAATTTGAGTTATAAAATAACCCTAAAATACTTTAGAACAAACTAAAAATAGCTTCCAAGATACATAATAATTAGGAAGTACAAAATTTTATAAAAAATATCTTGTTAAAAGTAAGCATTCAAAATTATGTCTGATGCTCTTTCATTAGATCAAAGTCATTAATAACAGAATCTATTGACAAATCACGTGCAATTTCCTTTTCAATATATGTTATTAAGTATCTCGACAAAAACTCATCCTCCATTTTGTTACGCAAGTGAGTCTTCACTAGCTTCATGGCCGAGAAAGCTTGCTCCGTGGTCGCAGTAGAAATAGGAAGAGTTAAAACAAGACGAACAAGTCAGTCATGAAGATGATAAATAATTAAATTTTAAGTCTTTGCTAACATTGGACAAAATTCTAAAATTGTTGATGTCCTTCTTAAATCAATGCTCCCTTGAGCTTCTAATTTAAAATGTTTTAATTGAACTTTCAAGAGCAATCTTTCATGCTCCATGAAGTCTTCTGGATAAAATTTATTTGCAAGCTTGCATAAATCTTCAATTCAAAAATGATTTATAACCATCAATTATATCTAAAGTAGAACTAAGCGTAAGTAACTCTACCATGTCATCATTGAATCTAATGTTCATCTTATGGATTTGAGAATCAATAGCAAAGATAAGTATATTAACACAGTAGCAATGCCCAACTGAAATGGAATCTCGTTGAAGACGAGACCTCCCTTTGCCACCTTTATACAAAGAATTCATATCAAGAATTTTTATATCACGTTTATCACAAAAATGTTATTACCTTTTCAAGTAAAGGATCCCACTCTTATTCTCTAAACTTGTGTATAAGCTTTTTTGAACTTGATACTAAATGCAAGATATTTAGTATATCTTGAGATTTACGTTGCAAAGCTTGACTAAGATCACCAGTGGTGCTTAAAATATCTATCATGAGATGCAAGATGAATACAAACTCAAAAGATGTCATCACATCATAAACGCTATCTACATTGCTTCTCTTAGTCAAATTTCCATCGCTTATGATGTTCTTAAGAACGGAACAAGAACTCCACCTTGTATCTCCTACATGTTGTAAAGTGCAAGGAGTAATGCTTAAAATCATTGAATTCTCCGCACATATTACTAGCTCCGCCATGTCCTTAACCTCTTATATCATTCACATTTAAACAATGATGTGAAAGAACATTACAAATCTCTTTCTTCAGTGCAGATGAAGTAGTTTCCTTCACATGAACTTGGTCAAAAAATCTTTCACATATAAAACCTTCTTTATCAACATATATCAACACAATTGTCATTTGTTCCTTTTCGACTCATCACGATTTTAAGAAAATATGACACAAAACTCTTGTTCTCCAATTTCATCCCAAATATGCTTATGTATCCAAGATAAAAAAAAAGACAAAGAATCTCCTTTTGGATTCTCGGAGAAACATGCTTTGAATTCTCTGGAGCATTATTAAAAAATGTAGCAACATCATCATTATAAGAAGCCAAGAAACTTACTAACTCAAGAAAGTTTCCATGTTTAGTTGAATCTTTTGTTTCATAACGATCTCATAAAGCACAACCTTTTAAAGGTTAACTTGTAACGCCCCAAATTATGGGTTACTATTTTGGGTGGACCCGAGAGGTATGTGGAGTTCGTAATTGAAGTCATTGGGCCAAGTGTGGTCTTAATTAGATGTAAATTGGGCACGATTAGCCTTAAAAAAGAGATTTTTGCTTAAAATGCTAAAGTGGAAGAACCAAAAGTGCAATTATACCATCGTTGAAAAAGAGGCTGATATTTTGGGATTTATGTTGGTGTTTAGGCATGGGGTTTTAAGGGAAAAAGCTGAAAAGCTTTTATCTCATTCTCTCTATCTCCTTTCTTCTCATTTTCCTCTCTTCATCCTCCACCAAGTGCCTTAGCTCAAAGGTAAGTGTCTAGAGCTTCATTCATATTCCTTTAAGCTTTAAATTCATTCATTAGCCTTCCATCAACATCCCTTATGACTAGAATTTTTTTTTGGTTATAGAAAGTGAGTAAAGGGTGCTCAAGTTCAAGAAAAAAAGAAGAAGAAAGTAAGTGTTGTTGAGAAAGAAGCTTCAGTTCAAGATTCTCTTAACAATATAGTGTATTTCTAATCCTTTGTGGTGTTATGGATTCCATAACCATGATGCTTTGTTGAGATTTGGTGTTTAAGCATGTTAGAGTTTTTGCTTAATTTATGCCCCAGATGATGTTAGTGTTGAAAAGTTTGTGTTTTTATGGAGTTAGATGACCCTATAGACTCCCACAAACTTTATTTGTTGATTTGAGGTTAAACTAGATTGTTTGACTAGGTTTTTGGGTTATTCTCGAGCCTTATTCAGATTTTCTAGGTTGTAGTATTGATATTGTTCATGTAATATCGATACTAGTATCAATACTGTTATAGTATCAATACTCTTAGTACCAATATTGTTGTAGTATCAATATTATTAGTACCAATATTGTTCTTGTAGTATCAATACTCCCCAACATCAAAAGATCTAAAACATCATTTGTTGCATTCGAATGTTTAGATTGGTATGAATTGTACAACTAATCTTGGAAAAGAGCTCTAATTTATGAAATGACTCAAATAACCCTAGATGGTGTAAATTACCAAAATAACCTTAATGAGAAATAAACTTCAATGGTTCCCCTGAAGGTGCATGTAACGAACGATCGCGATCGAGGCATCATTGAGAAGGAATGTATACAAGAGAGATGAAATACCACACGAATAACATGATAGAGGAATCGTGCACCATGTTAACATCGATAAAGCAAAGATGCGCAAGTTGCCCCTCCAATTCAAGGGTGAGTCAAAGGGAAGTGTGACGAGAGCAACTAGATAGAGAGCCATTATCAGATAACCTACCCCAAGTCGGGTGTCAAGCTAGAAATAATATACCAAGTAGGTAATGATAAAAATAATTATCGTAAAAGCATAAAACGCTAAAAACACATTTGAAGGTGAAGATAACCAAAATGCCCTTGAGTGTTAACTTTCCAGAATAGAGTGGTATAACAAACTAATATATGTAAAAGACTAAAAATGCTTGCCTAACGTTTTAGATGAGAGAACGAGCGAGATTGTGCTAGTAAGGAGACAACCTTACTTACTAGTGTTGAATTATAATAGTAAGTAACTGAGCTACCTTGTTTGCTCACGTGTGGCATTGTTGATGTGTGTGGCCTATGGGCACCTTAGCATGCATGTGTGATTGCATTGATGTTATGTAATGGATATCCATGATGCTTGACTTGACTGCTGTTGTGATACTGAGCCAATGTTATGGTTGAGCGAGAATTATACCGAGGATGATGTGATACTGGGTTCCCCTCATGATCTACCTAAAAACTATGTGATGACCATAAGATCATTTATATGTTTGGTGGGAATTTTATTGAGGCTTATATGATACTAGGTTCCCTCATTTATGTTTAGTACCTGAAAACTATTGTTATACCAGGTATCAACATTGTGTTGTATGATGATCGTGTGTTGCAATTGATGATGTATGGCGATATGATATTGTGGGTAGAGACCCAATATATGTATACTCATGGTGAGGCCATTAGATGAAAATTAAGGGAAACATGAGGCTCATTTTTTAGAGATAAATGGTTTAACCTTAAGTAGATATCACTTGATTATGATCATGCATGTACCTACTGCTTATTATCATATCTTCTAGTATGCTTATGTTTATGAGACTCATAATGCTGCTCTAGATTAACGATTATACTGTTGGGCTTTGTAAGCTCAACATTCAGATGTTTTCATTTGCAGGTTAGTAGTTAAACCGTTCCAGGAGCACCGTCGCAACATGATTTCTAGCATCCAATTCAGAGTATGTACTATTACTTTCAGTGGGCATGTGCTTTTATAGGACCTTTACTTATGTATTTGGATTTGCAAACTTTGAGTTGAATTGTTTGATTTAAACTATTTGTCATAGAGTTTCGATTTTAAAAGTATTTTATAACTATTATGGATGTCTAATTTGGAAAATATATCATGTTTTAGATGGAAATGAAAAAGGTTTTTAAATTTAGTGGTTGTCTCGGCAACCCAATGTGGCACTTTAGGCCCAATCGGGTTTAGGGTGTTACATAATCACTTCACAATTTCTATAGAAATTTTGAGTTGCAATCAATTTCTTGCAACTATTTGAGATGTTTGTATCTCAATCATCTTTTCAATATGTTGAAGAAAGTTCATCAAATCATAATAACTTTTCATGACCTTATTGTGGAGAGTTAGCATATTTCTCAACATGAAGAAGAAAAACACAATTAGATCCTTTATTAACTTTCTTCCAATATCGAAAACCATCACAAGCAAAAGCATTTGATCTTGGACGTCCAAAAGGCTTATTAAAGAGAAAACATGTAAGACAATAAGCGATATCTTTGGTTGGTGAATATTCTCACAAATAAGGAAATAACTTATACCATGAAGTGAAAATTCGATGTCCATACTTATCAACATATTTTAGATCATTAAAAGGAATGGGTTGATTAAATCTTTCCAATATACGATCTCCAAACTTCATCTTCTTAATTTGTAGGAAAATTCAAATAGAATTCAGCATTTCAAGATCAGGCTCAATAGTGGATGCATCAAAGATTTCTTGTTCAACTCTTGGATCTTTACTCAGACGATGATCCATTATAGGAGAATTAATGGTTGTCGAACTTGGAGTTAGAGAGCTCTCACTAATATGAGGATAATTACTATTAAGTTTGGGCTCCTTTTGATCAACCAAATTTTAATATGAGAAGAACCAATATCACTTTCAGAAGAACCCTTTCTTTTTAAAAAAAAATCAAATTTTCAATTACCCACATTGAGCTTTAAAGGTTTCTCACTCTTTTGTTTCTTGAAAAACTATCATATTCCACTCATTAGTATCTCAACAATTTTTTTGATTAATATGTAGTTAGTACAATTATATTGTAATATTCAAATTATAAAAAATCTCTAATCTTACATATTTTTTTTCTTAACTAGCTAAACTAATTCAATTTAAGCCTTTTTTTTTGCATGCTAAATCTCAATTTGAACATTCTAAACATCAATTAAACATTTTACTATTATCATTGGATCATAAGTACTAATTTAGAAGGAATAATCTACCTAATAACTCTAAATTTCATACTAACCCAAAGTCAAGAATGGTTAAAGAAGAATTTTCAAAATTGATTATCAATATGATGATTTTAAGTTAATAACACGTAGTAAATATCTTATTAAACATAGAAAATAATTTGTGGAGCTCTAAAATCAAAGAAATTTAATAAAATTAAGATTTTACCATGAAAGCTCCTAAAATAAACTTAAGGTTTGAGATAACATATATATTTGAAAATATGTGTCACACCCTAAAATAGGGCCTAAAATTCTCTTAAAAAATTTTTGATGACTAAATTGAATTTTGATTTAATTTAGGGACCAAAGTGAAATTTTGATTAAATTCATATCCAAATTTAGAAAGCAACTAAAGATGGATTACCTATGACATGATTTTTTTATTTTCTTTTTTTAAGGTTTATATAACCCCAAAATCAAGAAAAAAATTTAAGTACTTTTTCTCTGTCCAAAATTTTCCTCTTTTAAAAATAAATCTTTGATCGCTGATTCATCACCTACCGTTGCTCCGTTTTCGACACCTCATGTACTATTGTGTTCCTTCTGTCGTCTCGAGTCCACCGGTGTCTTTCTTGTCTCCATTGTCGACGGCGTATGAGGGGTAAAGAAGATAAGGTTTTTGATATTTCGAAATCAAGCTCTCTGCCATTCACCATTATGAACCGAACTTGGTAAGTGTCTCAAAACCCCTTAAAACGTACTTAGGATTTTTTTAGAATTTTTCTGACCCCCGTAGGCCATGTACACTCTCCCCCATGCGTCGCCCCTGCGCGTGGGAAAAGTCCATCGCCTGGTAGACTGCTAGAAAATGGGTCGATCTGACCCGCCTGCCTGACCTGATTCGACCCGGTCCAACATGAACCGCTGACCATTGACTTTGACCCGAAAAGTCAAATTTTTTGAAAAGTCATATTTTATATTTTTTGATATCCTGAGTTCGATTCTGAAGTCCGTTTTGCCAAATCTG